TGTGTCTAGAATGTGATAAACAAGCAGCAACAATATATTCCGGAATACTATACTGATCAAAAGCTTCAGTTTCTACAATATGAGTTTCAGATAAGAAAACTAAAAGAGGACGTTTTTCCTCAACAATCTGACGTAATGCTACGTAGTTTGTTGACAACCCCGCAATATTCAAGTATAAAAAATCGAATTGATTCACATTCCTGGAACTTGGCTGCTATTTATTGAAACGCAAGCTGCTTTTCTTCTGATCAAAAAGTCTTTTATAAAGCAAACATTCCGAGCTAAATGCGGCATGGTTGACGTCCAAGTTCATTTTTCGTTCTTTATTCGTTTTCAAACAATTAATACATTTCAATACAGTTGACGTACACTCCGACGTTTTGTGTTGTTGGCTGCACCTAGAGCATCTATCACAATTTTTGCAATCCATGCTCTTGTGTCCAAATTCTCCACATTTGAAGCATCTCAACACATTAATCGCGGGAACTATCGAGCACCGATCAAACCCTACATTTACTTTTTTCGCACATAACAAACATTTATAAGTTTCGACATCGACTTCAATTACAACACTAAACTTGTTATAAGTGAAGCGTGGATTTTCAAACATGTTCACTACTTTAACATCATTTATAGCGATGTCTTCATTTTGACTTTTTAAGTAGTCAATGAAGACATCGGAGGAAAACTGATCGCTCATTCCCCCTTATTTTCAATCTTGGCACCGAAGTGGGAACAACAGCACTATATTTTTCACCCAGATTGCTTTCAATACCATTTTTTACATCACTTTCGTTTGCTCCTGTTGCCCACTCAACAATAATGGAGCCATCTTTACCATTCCTAAAATTACTGATTTTGTGTGTTTTTGGATCCAACTGAGTTTTCAAAAACTTACGCGTATCTTCGCAAGGTTGTTTGGACTCTTTCGGTATAATCACAATGACCGGACGAGTCTTACGATTATCTGGTTTGTTAATTTTACTGTTACTGTTACTATTAGTTTTACTTTGACTAGCATGACTATGTCTTTTTACAACTTCCGCAAAACTCGCATTTTCTTGAAAAACAACATCATCATCATGATCACTATTACTAATTACGAATTTACGTTTTTTGCGTCTGGTATTTTGGCCCGATTCTGACTGAATCGTCCTAGATGAACTGCGATGATCATTCTTTACAGCTAATTGGTTTTCCGCATCAATTTTAAAAAATGAACACAAATTAAATTTTCAATACCATTTTCATTTATTCTAATGTCTGCCATCCCGCTTTTAACCGCGATGTCCACCTGAGCAGCAATGTGATCTCGCATGTCAGTGATCGAGTCCGAGAGTTGAAAAACCTTTTTCATCTCTTCCTCTATCCTTTTGACGCGTGAGATCAGATCATTCTGCTCGTCACAACTCTGATCTGATAGACAACTATCACACTTGAACAGAACATTTGCATTATCTGCTATAAGCCTCGCCGCAGTCTTAGTGAGTGCCGCACAAGCGAAATGAAACGTTCCATTGCACGGACCTACACATGTAACTGGGAGCCCACTCATAGCAATAGACTGCTCGCATACATTACACACATCCATTTTACCAACTTAAACGCTAACACTGTTAGCAGCAGACATATACAGGGGAGGAGAAAACAAAATAAAATTTTACCGCCACAGCTCACTACACTAAAGCAATAGCGCGCCGGGGGAAAAATACAAAATTAAACAAAAACTAGTTGCTAGGCAACCTTTCCTCTACTTATCCTGTTAGAAAAACACCACGAGCTCGCGTTGGAATAATCCTTTCGCGGCACACGCCACTATTTCACACGAAATTATTAATTTATTTTCACAGCACAACTCAACAAAAACACTACTTTGTACGCCATACTATATGATGTGATATGAGCATAGGTTTTATGTCAGTTTTATCACACTCTACACGTGGCTTTAATAAATGAAAGTATTCAACCTCCTCCTGGTCAGAAAGTTTTAACAATGCTTTTGATGACTACCATAAAACTGTATTACAACCGCATAAATCGCTCCTGAAGAAGTTGATAAAACATGATTCGACAAACATTTTGACAACCTCGCAGGTTTTAAGTTGGATTTATTTGGATGATAGTTAGTATTGAGAAATATTTTATTGTGGTTTTATTCTTCCGATGTTTCATGTGAAATCATGATCAATGTCAGTTTGTAATAATAGCTAATATTGTTGTATATTGAAAAAAAGACGACTTTATTACAATTTTTCACCAATCTGTATATGCTTTAGAGCATGCCGTTCAATATTTATGGTGATTATTATACCAAATAGGAGCACACATTCAGTGCGCCATATGAATCCTAAAATAAAGGGATATTTTTTATGTGTCAACATTAGCCCCATACATTAAAGAATCATTAAAAGATTGTCTATTTAGTACAAAACTGTTACTACTGTTTAAAAATAACCAGTCCCATATTATTTAATTATACATAGATGTATGGAATTGTTTTATCGCCTATCAATTAAAGCGTAATTAATTGAATTTGCGTGAATGTTTTTCATACCGCGACATTTTTTTCGTTATAACTTGCTGCTTCTTAAGAATGCCTCAGTACAACATATTCTCCTACATTGGAGTTCTATAGCATAACATAAACTCAATGATTGCATGTTCAACTTGAGAGCGTTAAGTTATATTTAAGCTTTATAGTTAGCTTGCTGGTTTTATTAGGTACAGCGAATCAAAACAAAACAAAAACCTTGGCAACTCGTCAAAACGTCAACATGCCAAGCGATCCTCATATTTTCTCTTGTAATCAAGATGTAAGAAATGCTTATTGGCTCCCCTAAAAGCATTTTTAATACTTACTTTACCTTACCAATCAGTCGAAGAAGAAGTCGTCTCCACTCTACTCGATCCATGGCAACAACTCGCCAGCCTCGTAGTCTGCGAAGGGACCGCAGGTCGCCTTCTACTTGGTCGATCCACCTTGCCCGCTGCGCACCTCTTCTTCTTGTTCCTGTTGGGTCGCTTTCTAGAACCATTTTCACTGGGTCGTCGTGCGGCATTCTTACGACGTGCCCAGCCGACCGTAGTCGCCCAATTTTTGCAATGTGGACGATGGATGGTTCTCCCAGCAGCTGGTGCACTTCGTGGTTCATTCGCCTCCTCCACGTTCCGTCATCCATCTGCACTCCACCGTAGATGGTACGCAACACCTTCCGTTCGAAAACACCAAGGGCGCGTTGGTCCTCCGCGAACATAGCCCAGGTCTCGTGGCCGTCGAGGAACAACGGTCTAATCAACGTCTTGTAGATAGTCTACTTCGTGCGGCGTCTTCCGGAGTCCAAAGTAGGCACAATTCCCTGCCATAATGCGTCTTTAAATTTCTCTGCTGGTACCATTTTTTGCGGTCACCAGTGAGCCCAAATACACGAACTCATTCACCACCGTATTTTAATAAATAGCTCATTTGGAAGTTGATCTACACCAGTTGCTTTGTTGTTCTTCAGCCGACCGATCTCTTCCTCAACTTCTTGAAGATCAAGGGCCGGTAGCCTGTCGTCTACTGCACGTGCTCCAAGGTCTGTTGCCGTGCCGTTCTCTGCTACATCACCGTTGAGGTGCTCGTCATAGTATTGCTTCCGTGTGTCGTGTACGCGGTACAGATTATCCATTGCCTCACGATCTCGGTCTTCCATTTCCTAGTCCATCTTGTGAGCGTTAATTTATATTTAAGCTCTACAGCTAGTTATATTTAAGATCTATAGCTAGCTAGGTACAGCGAGTCAAAACAAAACAAAAACCTTGGCAACCTGTCAAAAAGTCAGCATTCCAAGCGATCCTCCTGTTTGAATTGGCTCCACTCCAATACAAGGCTTAAAGCCGTGATGCCAAACTGGCCATCTCTAACCAGATTTAGTGAAACTGTCTGCGTTGTTTTAAGAAGGGTTCGTGGATCTTTCGGAAGTGCATCGGAAAGCAGCTTGTTCAATATTTTTAAGAGCTCCTTCATCCACATCCTTATGCTATATGAGGGAGCCCATAACTGTAGATCCTTCAGGAGTTTCATATCGTCTCATCTTCATCGTGCTCAAAAGAACTGAAGGGGTTTTCATTTCATGTATCTGAATCGATTTGTATCTGTTTTATATTGGTAACAATTTTCAAACTATTTTTTGTTATTGATGTAGTATATTTCTTATCTGTGAATCTCAGGCCTCTGATAAGGATGATAGTTGTAATGAGGCTTTAATGAAGGTATAAGAGCGCTTCAAATTTTATATCGGTCATGGAAAGTATGTCATTAAAGATAATTGATTTTTTTTCATCTAGTTCGTTTATTTGTAAGGCTCAATTGCGTTAGCTTTACGGAGCCGATAATTCATTGTTTTTTGTTTGTAACAAAATTCACTCAATTCTATGTCTAGTAGGAGTTGGGCCGAGTACTCGCCGCTTACTCGAGGCACATTGTCGAAGGATATGAAAAGGGGAGGAGCTTGAGGGTAGTGTTTCGTTGTCTCATCAGAGCGATGTCGCCAGTATGAACGGTAGTGTGGTTCTAGATTCGTCTGGAGTTCGACCGGCTATGGTGACCAGTGGGCGACGATGAGACTTTGCATGTATTGTGCTAGTTTTATTCTTCAGTTATAAGTAGTGATACAGAACCACCTCACAGCTACCGTTATAACTATGAAGTCTGAGTTTTAATTAAGTAGTCATAAAACATATTTATAGACGATTTGACGGTATGATTTTATGACAATAACACAAAACCATAATACAACCACAGGTGGCAAGGGATGCTATGATAAAACAATGATAAAATAGGACTAAATCGTCCAAGCATATAGATTGTTTATTGGATAATATCTTTTCTCAGCAAGATACAACTAGGTGCGCTCTTGCATCCGGAATACCCCTCACCATCCCGGGGAGAGTTTGGTAAAGAGAGATGATCAAACTGATTTGTACCTTCCTAAAGCTATCCTTGCTCGCTTTCTACTCACTCACTCTTGCACGAACATCTTCGCAATGATGACGACTGGTCCCACCAGGCCAAGAGGATCGAATAATCGAGCCGTGTCCGCAAGTACAACTCGTTTGGTAATAACTGCATCTGCATTCCAGACGGGTGACCGAAATAGGAAGCAATCAGTGCTCGTATTCCACAGCAAACCTAATGTTTTGACAGGAGCGTTCGACATATCAAGGTCCAAGGCAGATTGATCATCTACGAGATGAGTTGGTAACTCAGCCAGAAGAGCACTGGAGTTGGAATTCCACTTTCTCAAGTTAAATCCACCCGAGGAGGTTAGCTCAACCATTTCCTTCACCAAACGGATAATGGCTTCGATGTCATCGGCTCCAGTCAACATGTCATCGACGTAAAAATCATTCTTCATCGCCTTCGCTGCAACGGGATACTTGTCGGACTCAAGCTCTGCTAGACGCTGCAAACACTTGGTAGCTAAGTAAGGTGCGCACGCTGTCCCGTATGTGACTGTAGTCAACTGGTAGATACGGATTGGCTCGTTCGGTGAGTTTCTGCACAAGATGCATTGAAGTCGTTGATCCAACAGGTACACCAATATCATTCGGTACATCTTCTCGACGTCTGCAACAACTGCTATTCGATGGAGGCGGAAACGGAGCTGAATTGATAAAAGATCGTCTTGCACGACTGGACCGACCATTAGCGCATCGTTCAGGGAAACGCCCGTGGAAGTTTTGCAAGACGCATCGAACACCACACGCAGTTTTGTGGTGGTGCTGTCCGGCTTGAATACAGCGTGGTGAGGGAGAAAGTATATCGGGAAATCTGAATCGTTGATGTCCACTTGCTTCATATGGCCTAGCCGCTCGTACTCGTGAATAAAATCCTGGTACTGAGCTTTCAGATCTGGATTTGCTTCCAAGCGTCTTTCCAGGGCGAGAAAACGTTTAGTAGCGATTAGTTCAGATTCTCCAAGCTGCTGCATCACGAACTCCTTCTTCGGTAGGGACACTACAAATCTTCCACTGCTGTCCCGTGTTGTTGTTTCGTCGAAAACAGCTTCGCACGCTGACTCTTCCACAGAATGGATGCTGCTGGATTTGCAGGATTCCAGCTCCCAAAATCGTGCTAACTGGTCTTGGATGTCCGCTAGTGTACATGAATATAACACTGCTTGAGGCGGATTTACTGGTTGATTTGGAATGGGACCAGACACGACCCAGCCAAAGACGGTGTTCTGCAGAGTTGGGCCGGTTTTCGATATCTTGCTGCGCCCATCGGTAAGGAGATCAAAGTAATACTCCGCTCCAATGATGATATCGATGGGTCCTGGATCACTGAACTGCGGGTCTGCCAACACGATGCTGCTAGGAAGAATCCATTGACCGGTGCTGACCTTTCGAACGGAAAGTGTTGCTGTCAACTCTGGTAGCACATAGAACGGCATGTTTTCGGTATACGACGAAATATCACCAGATCGGGAAAGATGAATGCCTTGACATTCCTTCGCGATATGGATTTTGATCCTCCAATTCCTTGGACCGCCAAATAATCCGGGAATCCTTGAAGTTTTAACCTTTGACAGAAATTGGTGCTCATAAAGCAATATTGCGAACACGAATCTAGTAAAGCTCTGGCTAGTCGTGTCGCTCCGTACTGATCTTTAACGCACACCACAGCAGTGGATAGCAGTACGTCTCGAGTACGGTTTTGGTTACTGATTGACAGTGAAATTGTGTTCTGACTAGTGCATGTCTGGTTTGTGGTGAACAGTGGTTTAGTGTTCTGCGAGAGTGTAATAGGGAGAGCGCTTGTGGAAGGTTGAGTGGTTTGGTTGGGTATAGACTGGCCTTGAGTGTGTGATTGTGTCTGGTGTTGCTGTTGGTTCGCTGATGAAGATTTCGCTTGCGACGAGACGGAGGATTTGACAGACTGATTTAAGTCATTGTGCAACAGGGAATGATGTTTCTGTTGGCAATGGTGGCGGGACCCCTTGACGCACGACTTCGACTGATGTCCTGCTGATAAGCAGTTTAGGCATAATCTGTTTCGTCGTGCCATGTCGTAGCGTTCGGGAACCTTCAGTTTCAGGAACTTGATGCAGCGGAATGCAGAATGGAATGCCTCTCCACAAAATGCGCACTTGGTCCACGATTGAACTGCAGAATTACTCACTCCAAGCTTGGGCCGTTTCTCCTGGACTGGGATGGACTTCACGGGAGCGACTGATTGTAGTACGGAACAGTGTCCGCGCAGAAACTGGATTCGTGTATGTGGGAACCTCTTTCGAGTTGTGATGTGTCTCCCAGTGTCGAAGAGTAGCGGAATCTAAGCGCGAGCAAACCATGTGTACTAATATGGTGCTCCAATTGGCGGTCTCCTCTCCGATTTTCTGCAGCATCAACAAGTGTTTCTCGAAATCACCAACCAGCTTACTCAGTGATTCGTAACTCTCCTTCTTCATAACTTCTACCGCAAACAAGGAATCCAAATGGGCCTTGACGATTAACTTTTTGTTTTCGTACCTCCGTTCCAGTGTTGTCCAAGCTACCTCGTAATTTACTTCGGACATCTCCACCGAGTTGATCTCTTGTAGAGCTTCGTCCGTCAGTGAAGATCGTAGGTACGAGAACTTATCCACAGCTGTCAACTGTTGGTTATTGTGTATCAAGCTACGGAAAGTGTCTCGGAAGGTGACCTACTCCATGAGTTGTCCACTAAAGTTCGGCAGTCTTATTTCAGGCAATTTTACTCTCGAACCATTGGCTGGAACGGCTTGCGGTACTGGTCGGGCATCAGGTCTAACTCCAACAAGATCAGGCTTCGGCATTAACCTTGAAAGATCAGCCTTCAAGTTGTAGTAGCTGTTTTCAATCTTCATAACGATCTGCACGTTTTCTTCCTCTCTCGCCTTCTTCACAGCATCTATGCGAACTTGATGTTGTTCCTTGGATATCTTGATTTCAGTTTCTTCTGCAGGAACAATGTCATCCGTCAACAACTCAATTCTTCGACGGACTGTGTGGAATTCCTTAAACACCTCCTCCAATCTTTGCAAGCGGATTTCCACCTGATCACTCTGCTCCTCTTCATAATGATCTACGAAATACTGCATACCATCGAGAGTCCTCCGAATGTTCCTTTCCTGCTTCTGAAGTTCACGAAGATCGTTAGTCATGTTCACTACTCACTCACAGCACTAATTACTAAGAAATTGAATAGGACACTTCACTGCCACCGATACTATCACTTCCACTGTGCACTTTTTATTCACAATAAACTCCTCATCGACTCGACGTCCCGCGCGATCTCGCGAAGCTTTGGATAAAACTGTGAAGATTGACAACAGCGAGTGGAGAAACCAAACAGACAACAACCAACAGGAGAAAAAGCCAACAATTGCAAGACCAACCGTCCAATTCCGTGGAGAAAATTGCAGATACTGCCAAGGCTCGATCCCAATGGAGAAAAACACTCAGAAATAATCGAAATTTCAATTTATTTACCACTGTTCAATTACATGCAGTTTGACTCCGGCGGTTACATGCAAAACCACCACAAACCATCACAGATCATGCAACTAGTACTTCCCCGTTTCCAGCTGTGTCGGTCGTCTCGGTGCTATTGGTGTGTATTGTTGTTCTCCTCAACTGGTGCAGGAACGTGCAGCAAACTGCCTAATATCGCCTGTCTATTCTTCACTGCTATCGTCACACTTTTTATACCGCAGCTACCGTCGCCATCACACGGCATTTGTGTTACGTTAGGGTCACTGCTCTTCAAAAAAACTGCAGACCACGTATGAAAAACACTTTTTCCATAAATCACTGTTCTTTATCTTCGTGATCACACGCACTGAATCGGTCCTTTTTCAGGTGAAAAGTCCCCGAAATCCGGTTCGAAGGACCAAAAATGTTCGCACAGGATCACAAATTGATCGGATTTCGGACCTTACACTTTAATTAATTGCGGTTATTTGCAACGGGAACGGAATTTATTCTTCTTCAAAAAAAGGTCACAGGAATAATGATAAAAAAAACATCTGTATATGCGCGCGATTGGTGGATAACTAATTTATTGCCCCTATCAGCTGTTCACTCGTACCTACAATCTACTCGTGGAAAGGAGATTAGCTGATAAGAGAGGATCGTGAGAGCTGTGTGTGAGAGTAGGTGAAGTACGATTTCGTGTGGAACATGTTTGGTGGTAGGGTGCTTCTATTTATGTTCAAACAGATACCAATTAGAATGTTATTATGAATTTAATACAATATCAAGCTGGGAAATTTTATTACACACTACTTTTTTTTGAGGAACTATGGGGCTATGTTGAAATCTCGCTGAGATATTAACAATTTTAACAATTTACTGAAGGGGTAGGAAAACACATTTTTGCAAGTTTTGAAAAAAATCATAATATATTCTCAGTGTAAAGTTTTGTCTTTCAACATTATATTATTTTTTTTCCTTTGGTTTGTTTTTTTCCGTCGATCTTGTTTTCCGTGCTGAGCACCAATGCTACCGACGTGCCAGGAAGGCAGCTCCCACACCTGGACCCTACCTATCGACCCATCAACTCATGAACCGGGGACCAACGGCTTTACTTCCCATCCGAAGGAAGGCGTGATCAGAGATGTTATGCCTCAGAACATCCCGGCGGCGCCGACTGGCATTGAACCCAGGCCTACTGGGGTGAGAGGTTATCACGCTTACCACTACACCACCGGCGCCGTTATTCAACATTATTAACCTTATTATTATTTTCATCTGATGGTAAAGTAATTTTTGTATTGTTCTTTTATTTGGAAGGCTCAATCGCGTTAGCTTTGTGGAGCTAATAATTCATTTTTATAACATGCTTGCTTGCTTAAACCTAGGTCTAGCATGTATAGGACCTAGGTCTAGCATATATCAACCCATCAACTCATGAACCGGGACCAACGGCTTCACTTCCCTTCCGTGATCAGAGATGTTATGCCTCAGAACATCCCGGCGGCGTCGACTGGGATTGAACCCAGGCCTGCTGGGGTGAGAGGTAATCACGCTTACCACAACACCACCGGTTCCACTTATACACCGAAGTTACTTCAGTTTGAAGCTTTACTTCCATTGGTACGATTAAGGGGGTGGGGGAGGCTGTTGTCAGCCCCCTCCTCCCCTCATCAACTACGCATATGAGATAGAGCTATTGTTTTAGAATAAAATATGAACATTCCAAATTGCAATCCAAGGCGCAGCTACAAAGCTAGCCCATGCTGGAGGTGGCTGGATTCAATTGCCTGTCTGGTCTAGGATTTTTTCGGTTTGGAAAATTTCTCGATTTCCCTGGGCATAGAGTATTTCATTTGTTACTACCGTAACATAGGTATTAGAATCGATTTTCACACGTCTTGCCGTCAGTGACCGATAGCCATCCACACAAGCTATCTCACATGTATAAAACATTCCCAATCGATAGAACTTGGCTCGATATGGCTCGACAGTTTGATTGCGACATCGTAGAATCATAATCGACCCGGCATGCATATCGTGCATATATCATCAGAAGAAGAAATAGACGCAAAATCGTGGAATGTAGCGGAGAACAGCCCATAATGCACCCCTGGGGTAAAATGGCCCCGTGCAGTTTTTCGTTGCTCTCCCATTACTAATTATGGAAATATCATGTGCCATAATGTTGCTTCAAGCACTGAACTAGCAATGCTGATTGTTAAATTCATGAATTGATAATCGGAAAGCTATGAAAAACAGCGCAGAGCCATTCTACCCCAGGGGTGCGTTTTGAACCATCCTACACTAATAAAAATTCAATGATTATATTTATGTGCCCCACACATGAATTTGTGCAATGTGATAAACAAATGATATTTATGTGTCGCACATAGTTCTTATGTGTACACATAAAATTCATGTGTAACCACACATACTATTTATTTGACTCATACATTTCAAGTGTACTTCTGAGTGGATTCTGTTTATGCGTGGGCACATGAAAAACATGTGGAATTTTACATGGAAATTCGCCAATAAAAATGTGTCGAATTTTATGAGTGTACCCTATGTATTCCAGTAGACCTTTTCGATGCTTAATCGTCTTTCTCTACACTGAGGCAAATAGACCTAAGAATTTCATAAGACTCGACGTCATGAACGTTATCACTTTATGAACAACATATATGAATTTCATAAGCGTGACTTATGAATGATTTTCGGGTAACATGAGTTAGTTCTTATACGCCTTTAACCATTTCATTTTCCCAAGCGTTGAAAGCCGAGTGGTCAATACACGGGCCCAGGGGTTGAAACTGTTGACGTTTTTTACTACACTCGCTTCGTTGTCCTGTGCGACAGTCTGTTTGTTTTCGTACTCTCATGCTCTACCGTCGTATCTCTTACACAACGCAAACGGTAGAACAACATTCGAGCAAAAAGAAAATTATCAAATAAC